TACTTGGAGACACACCTCATCCTGACTTAATACCTTACATCAAAGACATCAGATTGTATAATTCGATTTAGTTTAAATTTTTACCTAGTTATATTGATTTTAGCCAAATTTCTTTAGTTTTAATTTGGTTGTTTTGATTTTTACCAAGTTTCTTCAAACCCAACCTTGAGTCTTAGACGCGGTATAGCGAAATCATGACTCTTGCTCCAAAAATTTACGTAACTCAAACTCAACCTTGTTATTGGAATTTAACCAAGTTATATAAATTTTAATCTAGTGATTAAATTATAACTAAGTTATATGAACTTTTGACCTAGTTTTAGGCGATGTAGCCAAATCATGACTCTTGCGCCAAAAATTTACCTAACTCAAACTCAACCTTGTTATTGGAATTTAACCAAGTTATATAAATTTTAACCTAGTCATTAAATTTTAGCTAAGTTATGTGAACGTTTGACCTAGTTTTAGGCGCGATGTAGCCAAATCATGACTCTTGCGCCAAAAATTTACCTAACTCAAACTCAACCTTGTTATTGGAATTTAACCAAGTTATATAAATTTTAACCTAGTCATTAAATTTTAGCTAAGTTATGTGAACGTTTGACCTAGTTTTAGGCGCGATGTAGCCAAATCATGACTCTTGCGCCAAAAATTTACCTAACTCAAACTCAACCTTGTTATTGGAATTTAACCAAGTTATATAAATTTTAACCTAGTCATTAAATTTTAGCTAANGTCAGATGTAATGACTGGAAGTTTAGCGAGCACTTTTTATCACTCAGAAGAGCTTGAAGTTCAGTGTCACTTTTTTGAGCTATAGCCAGTTCATCAAAGTTTACAGGTGGCTCACTACCGATTTGCTGAATTCTGGATAACGTGTCGGCAACTACATTGTTCTCACCAGAGACATGTCTGATGTCCGTACTGAATTGAGATATGAAGTCTAGATGCCTGAGTTGTCTCGGGGAACATGTATCAGAATTTTTGGTAAAAGCATACATTAAAGGACGATGATCAGTGTAAATAATGAAGCATTGCCCCTCAAGAAGATGTCTAAAATGTTTTACTCCCGCGTATATTGCAAGAAGCTCCCTATTATAAGTACCATAATTAGTTTCGGTTTTTGTTAACTTACGAGAAAAGGAAGCAAGACGTTTAGGACCTTCAGAAAATTGCGAATGGATGACAGCACCGATTGAAAAAGTTGAAGCATCAACCATAAGAGAAATTTAATTATCGGGTGTATGATGCGTTAAAGTTGTTGCATTAATCAACTAATTTTTGCATTTTTCGAAGGCTAGTAAGGAATTCTCATCCCAGGGAAGAGTTTTTGTCGTTTTTTTAATCCCTTAGAAACTTATTTAACGGAGCCTGTGTTTCAGCGGTTTTTGGCATAAACCACCTGTAGAAATTAATCATTGCTAAAAAACGTCTCAGTTGTAAGATTGTCTCGGGTTTGGGAAATTTCGAAATTACCTCGACTTTGTCAGGATGTGGTTTAACGCCTCTGGAAGTTATCAAACAGCCTAAGAACTGTACGGAGGATTTACCCAGTACACATTTATCAGGGTTTACCTTAAGGCCAAAGTCCCGTAAGCGTGAAAATATTTTGTGTAAGTACTCTACATGTCATCAAAATAAGGGATGCAAAAGTCAAACAGAGCTAATGCTTGATGAATAAATCTTTGAAAAGTCTTAACTGCATTTCGGAATCCAAACGTCATTGCTGTATATTCAAAGAGACCAAAAGGTGGCGCTACAGCAGTTATGGGTATATCTGGGGGATAGATTGCAATTTGATGGTAAGCTCGGGCAAGGTCCAGAGTTGAGAATACCTTTTTTTCAAAAAGATTTTGGGTGCAGTCCTGGATGTGAGGGACAGGGTAGCGATCAGGAACAGTGATCGAATTTAGACGACAGTAATCGCCGCACGGTCGATAATCACCGTTTGATTTTCTTACAACATGGAGAGGACTAGCCCGAAGAATACCTTGAGAAATCAGGTATTCAAACTCTTTCCGGACAGCGTTTAAAATAATAAGTGCCAGACGACGAGGTTTCAGAAAAACTGGCGGACCTTTAGTCATAATGTAATGATATGTTTTGTTTGGGAGATCAACATTAATGTTTTGCGATGGGTTAATTAACTCTGGATGCTGGCGCAAGATATCGTCGAATTGTGAATCTCCCAAAAGAATTTAAATATTTGTGGAAAGTGGAGAATCCGAAGACAAATGTCCACGAGAAGACAACTTTGTTTAGGCATCAATCAAAGAATTATTTTTAACGTCAACCAATGGATTGAATTTTTTTAGAAAATCAGCACCTATAATAGGCTGATTGACGTCTGTAAAATTGTGGCTCAAATTTAGGTCTAATTTTAACAATTTAGTGCCATACGTTTTTATGACTGTTCCGTTGGCAGCATACAATGTCAATGTTTCGCGAGTAGTGGGAACGGTTGCTTTGCTTTTTGGCAGAACGCTGACGTCTGCACCAGTATCAATGAGAAATTTAAATTTAGAAGAAGGATCGGCCGAAAATATTCGATTTTTGAGATGGTCGACTGTGTGGCCATCACACGATCGCCTATCTAGTTTGTTGAAAAATTACACGGCTGGGTACACTTTTTGGCATTTTGGCCAAAGTTAGTGTGATAGAAACATTTTCCATTTGCAGGATCTTTTGAAACGGTGCTTAGAGCTGCTTCGTTTGCGAAAATGATTTGGAGCTGAGCTACGCTTTTTTCTGACAAAAGCAGTTCACTCATTAACTTGCTGTGTCAATTGAGCAACTTGTTGCTCTAATCGAGAGGTGTGGGAATTAGAAGTAGCGTCGACAGAATTAACTCCCTGATGAATAGAAAGATCATTAATCTTGTCTGCCACAGTGGCTAACTGATCTAAATCTTCGCTGAGAGCTGCCAAAATTGTTTGTGTCCCATTAGGTAGCCGACCAAGCCACAATGATTTCAAAAGAGTATCGCCTACGTTGTCGCCTGCGGGTGAATGCATTCGCGTTAAAAGCTCGGATGGTCGTTGGTCCCTTAACTCTAAACCTAAGTTCTTATTTTTGATGCTTCACTTTCAGAGTGTAGCTCTACTAAACGTTTCTTAAGCGCTTCATATTTATCATTCTCAGGGAGCTTTAACACCAAATCGCTAACGGAATTTAAAATGTCCGATCCAACAGCAGAAAGCACATGGTTAAATTTGGTTATATCAGCTGTTATTTTAGCCAAATCAAATTGCACCTCCAAACGGACGAACCTTAACGCTGAATTATTTTTTCAATAGCGTATGCTTAACGGCCACATGAGCGACTGACTGATTTTCTAGTTCAGGCATAGCGTATTAAAAATTTAATCGCTTATTTTTTTTAAAAAAAAATAGAATGACAATTTAAAACGAAATTGAAGTTAAATGAATACAATGATTTACAATCACTCGATTAAGGAATTGCGTTTGGAAAATGCCTAATCGCACATGCGCAAAGAAAAATTCAACATTAAACTCAGAATACATAAATGCGGAAAAGAAATTTTGAGTTACGTTTATGGATTGATAACATAAATATGACACATCGCAAGTTCAATAAGTAATTCTAAAAATTAACATACCATGCTACCCCGTGACAACTGATGTTGGACATTCTTTCTCTTACGTAAAGAGTAAAAAAATATAATTTGTCCAAAAAAAAGGTTAATGTCTGTCTTATTTTAGATAAGCTGTTTAAATTTTAAAACATTTAAGCTTACGGCATAAGAGAATTGCCGATGTATTAAGATTTCGAAGGTTACCGGTCGTTTTGACTGCAAAACGATTTGAAACACTTTTAATTTTTTTTTGGTTCTCACCAATTTCTTTGATTTTGTCTGACTTTTCCTAAATATTAATAAACATCATCCACAAAAAATTTCACTCACTTTAATTAGTTTTTTTGTAAATTTACAATATACCTAAAACGGTAGACAGAAAAAAAGGTCCCGGAAAAAAAGGGTACGGAAAAAAGGTCCCGGTAAAAAAGGTACCTCCATAGGGAAAATCTGTAGGGATATTTCCCCTCTTGCTTTCTGGGCAGCATGAATGCTTCTCGCTGTTTCAATGAATATTCTTTTAATCTGTAATAATTCAGATTAGATCATTGAGGTAAGCTTTTTTTTACGCTATTACGCTTTTTTTTTAAAAATTTTATTTCATTTATTTATTCTTCATTGATTATTTTTTAAAGCGGGAAGATACCATTGAAATTTTTCAATAATGTTTTACTTTTTTTTCCGTAATTTTTTTAAGTAAAAATGTGTTATTTTCTATTTTAAATTATATTATGTGAAGAAGTTGCTAATGTGAGGCTTAAAGTAGCCAATCGGGAAAGTTGGGAGGATTTATGTGTTGGATGCTTATTGACTTTGAAAACGCGCGACACACGAAAAAAAAAAAAACATGCACGGAACAGCAAAAAAACGCTTCAGTCTAATCTTCTCATTTCAAATATTTCCCCCCCCCTACAGAATTTTCCCTACACAGGTACCTTTTTTACCGGGACCTTTTTTTCCGGTACCCTTTTTTCCTAGAATCACCTAAAACGGCCAACACCGGTCAAAATGACCGGTTTTAAATATTTCTGTTACTTTCGTTTTGAAAGCTTTATTAATTATACTAAAATGAAGGGGTGTGAAGAGTAGAAAGAAAGATAGAGGGTGACCTTCAGCCACACCTGTTTGAAAGTGATCTGCGCATGCACGAATTTTTGGAATTTTCGTTTGTCTCCTTCAGAAGTCATGCATCATGTTTAGACTATTGAATTTGAACTGTGAGGTTATGATATGATATTTCCAACTAAGTGAGCAAATCTACTGAAGAGTTTTTTTTAATCTATATATCGTAGAAGTCGTGCATCATGTTTAGACTATTGAATTTAACTGTGAGGTTATGATATGATATTTCCAACTAAGTGAGCAAATCTACTGAAGAGTTGTTTTTTGTTAAATCTATATATCGTTAATCTATATATCGTAGAAGTCGTGCATCATGTTTAGACTATTGAATTTGAACTGCGAGGTTATGACATGATATTTCCAACTAAGTGAGCAAATCTACTGAAGAGTTTTTTTTAAATCTATATATCGTTTTATTATTTATCTTTTCTCTTTCTGTAATTCAAAATGTCATAAGCATCAAACAATGCTTCAAGTTATCTTTGACGCAAAACATATTCTCGCCTGTATGCTACACATTAATTGAACTTATAATTAAATTCACCACAAACAAATTATTATCTTTATGAAGGAAACACAATTTATTCATAAAATTTATCTTGAAACAAGTCTTGCAGTTTTGTACTATTCTTCATTCATTTCTCTGCTTTCTCTTTGGCTTTTGCAGAGGCTCTCATAGACTCCCATTCCTACAGCAAACAAAAAATACAATTAGTAGAAAATACAGAGCGTTTAACTCGCATTTATTATTTAAAAAAATTAAATTTGAAGTACCTGTTTTGAAATAAGGATAAATAAAACTGAAACGTATAGATAAAACGTAAAGTTGTCATCGCAAAATGGAAAAATAAGGGTGAGAAACAAAACTAAAAAAACTACAATAGCGGAGAGAAAAAAATATGAAAAACAAAAACAAACAGTCATAAAAATCTAGGTGGTAATAGATATTTTCGAAAACAATTTATAATGAAATGATTTTCTTACAAGAATTTGTTCTTTTCTGTCTTGATGTGCGTAAATTTTCAGCCCTGTTCATGCTATACATTTTTATTGCAAATCAGTAGAGGGATTCCTTATCAGTTCTTAAATGTAAATTGCTGTATATTTTTTAAAACATTTATAACGATGAATAAATCTAAAGTAGCACACAGTAATTGTTTTTAAAGAAAAGATATGTGTTTGTAACATTTTATATGAGAAAGTAAATATGTGTACATAATATTCATAAATAATACTATTTAACAAATCACTTTGTCCCTAAAATTTGCATTAGTGCATCAGGTTTGCATCAATGCAGGTTCAGGTTTTGCCTACTTAAAATGATTCAATGCAATTAAATATTTATTCGATTATATACTAAATGTTTATTCGATTTCAATAATTTCAGTTACTGTATTGAAATATAATAATATACAAATGCTTTTACAACTAAATTTTTTTACATTATGTATTTAATAGAAATACTTTATCATTTTTGTAGTTATTTTAAATTTATCAAATGATTAACACTGTTCTAGTTGATAGTCTCTAAGATTACTAATTTAATTATTGATTCATTATTTATTGCCAGTACTAGTATAAAATTATTTAACTTTATTTACAATTCAAAATACATCAAGCATTAAAATTTCCTTCCAGTCAACAAGTTAAATTTTGTGTGTTAGTTGTTTCTTACGAGATATCTAATTACATTCAAGCAATTAATTTTACATAGCCAAATCAACTAACAACCTCTCCAATAAACCTCTCTGTTTTTATGACATTTGAAATTTGGTAACAGATTCTCTAACACAGCTCAGATAACTAAATTGGAATACTGAACTTAACAATAAATTGCACGAAATTAAATCGGAAATAAAACCATTTAAAACGTTAAACTACAGTAGACAGTCACAAGTCGTTATCATCAACAGACTACGTATTTAACATAAACCGTTTAACACACAAATATTTCATTTTAAATGAAGCACTCCCACAATGAGATGCCGAGAGTATCTTACGGTGAAGCAAGTTTTGATCTATTTTATCATATTGTTTGACGCAGCATGCCCAGCTTTGTGTCATTAAATCCTACATTCAATTCTTACATTCATTTTCTGACACAGTGTTAGAAATTTAAATTCAAATGAAGACAGTATTTTAACTGTGACATCCCGACTTTAGCAATTTTACTTGGAGACACACACCTCATCCTAACTTAATACCTTACCTCAAGAACATCAGATTTTATAATTCGATTTAGTTGAAATTTTTACCTAGTTATATTGATTTTAGCCAAATTTCTTTAGTTTTAATTTGGTTGTTTTGATTTTTACCAAGTTTCTTCAAACCCAACCTTGAGTCTTAGACGCGGTATAGCGAAATCATGACTCTTGCTCCAAAAATTTACATCACTCACTCAACCTTGTTATTGGAATTTAACCAAGTTATATAAATTTTAATCTAGTGATTAAATTTTAACTAAGTTATATGATCTTTTGACCTAGTTTTAGGCGCGATGTAGCCAAATCATGACTCTTGCGCCAAAAATTTACATCACTCACTCACTCAACCTTGTTATTGGAATTTAACCAAGTTATATAAATTTTAACCTAGTCATTAAATTTTAGCTAAGTTATGTGAACGTTTGACCTAGTTTTAGGCGCGATGTAGCCAAATCATGACTCTTAGGCCAAAAATTTACATCACTCAAACTCAACCTTGTTATTGGAATTTAACCAAGTTATATAAATTTTAACCTAGTCATTAAATTTTAGCTAAGTTATATGAACGTTTGACCTAGTTTTAGGTGCGATGTAGCCAAATCATGACTCTTGCGCCAAACATTTACGTAACTAAAACTCAACCTTGTTATTGGAATTTAACCAAGTTATATAAATTTTAATCTAGTGATTAAATTTTAACTAAGTTATATGAACTTTTGACCTAGTTTTAGGCACGATGTAGCCAAATCATGACTCTTGCTCCAGAAATTTACATCACTCATTCAAGAAATTAATTAACTACATTAAATTAATATTATTGTCAAGGGGTTTGATTTTTTTCGTGATTGAAAAAGTATGCGCAATAGTGTCGGCAAAAAACACTTTTTTTTAAAAAGTTCTTTTTAATACTCAGAATAAGTTAGTTCATTATAGGGTCAGGACAAAATGCAAAATATATAACGTGAACAGTTTCAGTGTTAGAAGCCCAGAAGTAGGTGGGAGTTGGAAACGTTCCATATTTTTATTTCTCATTGTTATCGTATTTTTGTTTAAGTCAAAAAATATCTTCTACCGCATCCCAATTTATCAATTTGAGTAAAAACTAGCGCTTTCTACTCCATAATTATTTAGGCATCCCAGAGGGCGAAAAAATTGTCCCACATGCTTAATAAGAATCATTAAAGTTATTTTACCAATCAAATAATTTCTTCAGTTGGTGGTATATGTAAAAGCTCTTTTAATTCCTGAAAGAAGAAAGAAAACAATTCTTTTCATGAATATTTTGTTTGTTGTAAAAAATAAGTCTACGCAAGAGCGTAAAATAAGTGTTGTATTCCAGGGCTTTAATAGCAAAAACTGAATTTGTTATGAGTTGAGAAAAAGGAATAAATAGTACGATTCTTAATTGAACCCTAATTATGTGATTTTATATTTTATAATAGCCGGCCAGGTGGCCGAGCACAAGGCCGTAGCCAGNTAATTATAATCAATTTGTAAACAAAGTTTACAAAGACATGCGACGGGGATTTGAAGAAAATTTTTCGATTACTTTTTTAGGACAAACCGGAATATCCCGAAATATGCTTAATAAAGTTAGCCCTGTTAGCCTTTCTTCTTTAGTAGCATTTCTTGTTGCTGTTGTTACGCGTTTAAGAGTAGAAAAAGTTCTTTCTGCAGTTGCTGTGGTGATTAGCAACGTAGCCAATATTGATAACAAGCAATAAATGTTTGGGAAAAAGATATTGTTACATTCTTCCATTGCTGAAAGTGCCATATCTGGTCTACTAAGGGGTTCATGCAGGTTTCATCTTGATGCCCATACTTCCAGTTCTCCCATGAGGTTTTCGATGTCAATGAAATCTGCGTAGATTCGGAAATTGCATAAATTAATATGCTGAAAAACAATTGATTTCGGGGGAAGAGTCTAACCGAAGGAAAGATGAGCCACAAGGTCAAGTGAAGATGATGCACTAGCGAAGGTGGTGTACTGGAAAAAGGTTTGATTCGACAGCTTTTGTTTTTCTTTTTACTGAGAGGCTCAAAGAGAGACTAAAAAGCTTGAATCCCAGAATTTCGGGGGGGGGGATTTGTCCCGACTGCCCCCCCCTTGGTTACGGGCCTGGCCGAGCGGTTAGCGCGCCTGACTCCGAAGCCAATGGCCGCGGGTTCGAATCCCGCTCTGGGCATGGATGTTTCTCTCCCTTGTGTGTGATGAGTGAATGCGGCCCACCCTATGAACGGGTTTGTGGCAGTGTGGCGTGGGCAATGTTACTCGCCTCCGTGACTTCGGTTCTCAGGTGCCCACGGGGTAACGCGAAATGAGTAACAACTCTGGCATCTTCTATGGCGAAACGAATAAACTTCAGTGCCTGCCATTCGAAAAAAAAATATTTTATAATCGTCGTTGAACAGCCGACTCAATTTCGGGTATGCGATTACTAAAGTTCAACTCCGTAGCCTTGGTAGTTTTGAACCCAATCTAGAAGGTAAGCGAACTCCTGGATCAAGTATTGGGAGAAATTTGCCTTCGTGTAGGACTTATTGATGTAATTAACTCGCATTTGCGTCACATGAAGAGGAAAACCTCCCACGATTAGCTTGACGGTAAAGGAACTCTAACCCATAATGAGGATGTTTTACGTCAGCACTGTGGTCGGTTCGACCCGGCTGCGGAATTCGTATCGAGCAGCCATTGCTGGGATTCGAACCCGTTTCACCTCATTGAAGTCGGACGCTCTATCCCCTGAGCCACCTCAGCTCTAATTATGTTATCTGACTGTAGTGTTAACAGTTGATAGTTTTCTGAATTCTATATTTTCCAGATAAATCGAATGATACAATTTCATAGCACTAGTCGTAGTCTAAGGGTATCATATACAATTCTTATCGATAGAAAAATTTGAACATTTTTTAATAATTTATAACTTAATAAATACTTCGAAATAGTTCAAAAAAATCTATATACGATCTTAAAAGCTATCTGTTAAAAATTTAATTCTGATTAGCAAATAACACTCTTTGTAAGTACTCTACTCATTTAATTAAACGGAAAAAAATACATATGGGGTGTTACTATACCTCACACATCTAGATACAACTGACAGCCGTGGAAACAGGTACTAATCAGAAATGGTACTTTTTCTACAAAAAACCTGTTTAACTTCTCAACTCATAACAAAATCACTTTTTTCAGTAAAGTTATTAGCACGAGACAATACCATACTATTTGGTTCTTATAACAGTTATTTTTCATATTTGATGCATTTTTGAAAAAATTTGGAAAAATGAAAAAATTTTCTTCAGAAATTAGAGCACAACGTGAAGACGAAAGATATTATTTGATAGGGAAAATATTTTCTTTTTCTGCATAAGGGACATCTCTTTAGTTCTACTAAAATAGCAACATAAGAAAATAATTATGTTTATGCAAAAGTGTTATTTTAACAAAGATGCCAAATACTCGGGATTGGACAAAGTGTTTTAAAAAAAAAACGGTAGAAAACTAGAAACTAAAATGTTCATATTTTTAATTAATTTTGCTCATTTTTTAAAGGGTTCAACGCGTTTTAACCGTATTAAAGTGGCGTTTTAAATAAGTCTTTGAATTACTTAGAAGTAGTGGTGAGTAAAATTCCTCTACATCAAATTTACTAAAACAGGAATCAGATTAAAAAAACTACCACTTGAAAATATTTATCCGCTGNCAGAATTTCGGGGGGGGGGATTTGTCCCGACTGCCCCCCCCTTGGTTACGGGCCTGGCCGAGCGGTTAGCGCGCCTGACTGCGAAGCCAATGGCTGCGGGTTCGAATCCCGCTCTGGGCATGGATGTTTCTCTCCTTTGTGTTGTCCTCTGTTGTGTGTGATGAGTTGATGAGTGAATGCGGGTTTGTGGCGTGGGCAATGTTATTCGCCTCCATGACTTTGGTTCTCAGGTGCCCACTGGGTAACGCGAAATGAGTAACAACTCTGGCATCTTCTAAGGCGAAACGAATAAACTCCAGTGCCTGCCATTCGAAAAAAAATATTTTATAATCGTCGTTGAACAGCCGACTCAATTTCGAGTTTGCGATTACTAAAGTTCAACTCCGTAGCCTTGGTAGTTTTGAACCCAATCTAGAAGACAAGGGAACTCCTGGATCAAGTATTGGGAGAAATTTGCCTTCGTGTCGGACTTGTTGATGGCATTAACTCGCATTTGCGTTACATGAAGAGGAAAACATCCCACGATTAGCTTGACGGTAAGGGAACTCTAACCCATAATGAGGATATTTTACGTCAGGACTGTGGTCGGTTCGACCCGGCTGCGGAATTCGTATCGAGCAGCCATTGCTGGGATTCGAACCTGTTTCACCTCATTGAAGTCGAACGCTCTATCCCCTGAGCCACTACAGTTCTAATTATGTTATCTGACTGTAGTGTTCACAATTGATAGTTTTCTGTATTCTATGTTTTCCAGATAAATCGAATGATACAATTTCATAGCACTATTCGTAGTCTAAGGGTATCATATACAATTCTTATCCATAGAAAAATTTGAACATTTTTTAGTAATTTATATATAACTTAATAAATACTTCGAAATAGTTCAAAAAAATCTATACACGATCTTAAAACCTATCTGTTAAAAATTTAATTCTGATTAGCGAATAACATTTTGGATACCCTCTTTGTAAGTACTCATCTCATTTAATTAAACGGAAAAAAATACATATTGGGTGTTACTATACCTCACACATCTAGATACAACTGACAGCCGTGGAAACAGGTACTAATCAAAAATGGTACTTTTTCTACAAAAAACCTGTTTAACTTCTCAACTCATAACAAAATCCCTTTTTTTCAGTAAAGTTATTAGCACGAGACAATACCATACTGAATGGTTCTTATACACAGTTATTTTTCATATTTGATGCATTTTTTAAGATAAAAGAAAAAAAAAATGTCTTCAGAAATTAGAGCACAACGTGAAGAAAGATATTATTTGATCGGGAAAATATTTTCTTTTTCTGCATAAGGGACATCGCTTTAGTTCTACTAAAATAGCAACATAAGAAAATAATTATGTTTATGCAAAAGTGTTATTTTAACAAAGATGCCAAATACTCGGGATTGGACAAAGTGTTTTTAAAAAAAAACGGTAGAAAACTAGAAACTAAAATGTTCATATTTTTAATTAATTTTGCTCATTTTTTAAAGGGTTCAACGCGTTTTAACCGTATTAAAGTGGCGTTTTAAATAAGTCTTTGAATTACTTAGAAGTAGTGGTGAGTAAAAGTCTTCTACATCAAATTTACTAAAACAGGAATCAGATTAAAAAAACTACCACTTGAAAATATTTATCCGTTGTGCGGAGCAAGTTGGCATCTATGTTTTAATGGAATTACCCAAATCAAATGCAAAACTGTTGCACAAGAGATTTTAATATTTTTTTTTAAAATTTCACCATTTTTAATGAACACACACATAAAAAAAGTTTCTAATTTAAAAGAATAACAAATTGAGGAAGAAAAAAAAGAAAGATGAATGTTTTACACCCCACTTTTATGTAGAGTTGGTTCAGTTTTTGAAGCAAAAAAAAATTGTTATTGAAACCCAGACGACGTTCATGGCAATGTAAAACCTATTTCTGGTTCTTACGCCACAAACTTCAAAATAATTAACTGTTAACCGTTACACTAAAGGGATCACCCGAACAGGGGTGATTGTGAGCCCAAGTCAAAATTCCGGAAAAATTTTTTGAGTTAAAAAAAACAAACACAGTTTACATTGAATAATTAGAAAAAAAATTTATGCCAGGTTTTTTTCCTTTTTCTCAATATTTCTTAGTTTACTTAAAATATATTTAAAATTTTACACATACCAATGATGACCTGGAGAAGTAATTAAAATTTACAAATATGTCTTTCTTTCTTGAGTTTATGATTATAACAACTATTTACTGATAAAAAATGAATATTAATCATGAATATAAGCTTATAAAGTATCTCTCTGGCTCTGCCTTACAAACAAATAAAATAAACTGTGTTTTTAAGTTCCACCTTTGAAAATTTGATTTCCGGAAATTTCTGTGATTGATGATTTTTTGAAACGTCTGCACCTTCGATCTCCGGAAACTTCTGAAAAATCCGGATTTTTTCCGGAACACAATCAGCCCTGCCCGAATAAAAGGAGGAGCAAATTAACAAAAATGTTAAATGATACTAAACCTTTTTAGCCCAATTTTCAACCGCCTTTTCTACTTCCTCCTGTAAATAGAGAAAAAAAATTCTCTTAATACTATGCACAATATCTAGTAGAGTAAAATGGGCTTACATAAAATTAAACTATATTAACTATTCATGGAATGAGAAGAATTAACAGAGAGCACACACATGCTCCCTGCTCGCTTCGATTGCCAATCCTTATTATTCTTTTGATCATGTTTATTTTGATAATTGTGGTAGGAATTTTAAGGTCAGCAGTCTATGTGGTGGCTGTTAGTCGGTTGTTAATTTCAGGGCTGCCAAATTTCTACACCTCTTGTAAAAATTTATTTTAGTGGAAACTATTGTGACGCTTATCGTCACTCAAAATTAAAGTCACGAGAAAGGGTTAAAATTAGATTTCTAGAACATCTCGAAGTTTTCGCGTAAATAATACTACCGAGGGAAATCTCCACCGGCAAATAGTAACTTAAATACGGATAGAGTAATTCAAATAAACAATTAGGTTAAAATCTTACAATTTCATGGTATTAACCCCATCATGGGACTAACACGAAAGCACCAATAGCTATTGGACTCAATAACTAAAACTTGACCTTACCACAAATTTGTAACTTTTGACGACGCAAAAAATAATGATGTTAAAGCAGCTGGAAGGAAAGGGTTAGGAGAGCAATCAAAGCGAGTCTACTCTAGGCAGAAGTAAACCATTGTATAAACTTGATAAGTCTCTCTCTTTACCTAAAAAGCGTCACACCATATTTATGTTTTATTCATTTAAACTTATTTTACGCACCGTTACATATAAAAGATTTAAAAGTTTATATGCAACGCCACTTTTTACTCCAGATCTTTCGTGATGAGGCTTTAAATGTTGTTGCAATAGTTTCAAAGTTTTGGTTTCTCAAACGTCAACCAACGGCCATGCAACGAAGAGCAGAAAATCATCATGCATTCGATACGCTTCTACTCGAATTATTTCTCCAGCAATTATAACCCACCCAGGGCCCGATCTATTTCAGGATACATTCAAGATCCCACGTCAACGAAGGCTGTTGAAATTGCCGATAAAACTTTGGATATTTCACCTCCACAGCAGTGTCATCTTTTCTTAAAGTTCTTCAACCGCAAAATTAGAACTGTTACAAGACGTCCTTACTTCCTTAAGAGAAGCTCTAGAAATCGTTCTAGATCTAGAATTCATTCTCAGCTGAAACACCTAAGTGTTAAAGGCGATGTATGCTAGTATATCACAAAAAGTTCAGTTCATAAGTATCGAAACACTATAAAATCTATGGTACATAACTGTCTTATTTAAGCATACAAATGCTCCTACAGGCACATTTGCCCAACATGACGTCCAATTTGTCCACATACACATAGGATTTTATAGGTCACCTCTCTTCATGTAAAGGTTGCAAGAAACTGATGAGTAACCTTCTTTAATTAAGATAACATTTTAAAGTTTAACTTTACCAGAAACATATCGTTTTGATCATAGTTGTCATTTTTATAATTTTAATCATATAAAATAGGTTCTATCATATATAAAATAGGTATAATATAAAATAGGTATAAAAACGATCTTTTAATTTCTAATACCAACAATCGCATATGCTACAGATTTATTAAGAAAAAAATTAACAAATAAAAAAACAGTGGCAAGTGTCAAAAAAACAGTAACAAAAACTAAACACACAATTAGTATTTTTAAACATTGGCTCTCGACCATTTCTGTAATGTATATTCAACTAAACATGATAAATTTCATGATAATGATGATAAATTTTATGATAATGATGATAAATTTCATTTAAAAACAGACTATCGATAGAAAATATTTAATCTTATTAATACAAAAATGTGTTGCTGTAGTTACCTTAGCAGCAAAATAACTTGGGGCCGTTATTCATTAATCTTGGCTCAATAAGGGTTCAAAGCGCCGTTATTTTTCCGATATTGGCCCTATATAGAATTTTTCGATTCATCCGATATTTTATATGCATTTTTTAACCAATATAGGTTCTATGTTGGCCAATGTAGGACCAATATTACGAAATATTGACATCTCAACATTGGTCCCCCGGTACATGTTCTTATAAGAGGACCCATACTGGGGCCAAAGTAAACAGTACTAAAATTAATTAAATAAACTCATATCGATATTCTTAGGTTAATGAGTAAAAATTAACATTTCATTATTATTAACATTTATTTATTCTGTTTAAAATGTAAATCTATAGACTTCTTTCAAAGTATACAGACTCGACGCACGACTTTTTACTAAATTGCAATTTGAATGTATTAAAAAATTGACAGATTTTTAAAGATACCAAACAAAGGTTGCCTTACAATCAACAGATAATAAAATTATAATAACTAAATATGGCTGGTATTTGTTAATTTCCTTTTAAAAGAGTATTTTAAACTGTTGAGGTTTCTGCCTCCTAGTACTTTCTAAGTGAATAAATTATAAGTTATTTAACAAGTTAGAAATAAGAATTAGAAAAAAAAGCACTACCATTTCTCCAGGTGGTTTTACAAACCCAGCATTTGTACCTGTAATCAAATAAATCAAAAGTGTGAAATAATTACACCACGTATTATCTAGATTAATAAAAACAAAACAGTAAATGTGTTACAGTTGAAACATGCAAGGGGTGATCAAATGAAAAGGTACGAATCGTACCTTTTCATTTGATCACTCCTTGTAGTTTTTGCATGAAGTGTTTTAATATTTTAGACAACACATACTGTGATAGTGTAATTCAGTAAACGAAATCGGACGAATAGGTTATCGAATCTTACGTAATCCATTTTTTTAGAAATTTGATAGCTCAGTAACTATTCGACCAATTTCGTTCAAAATTTGTATCTTTTTATTTAAAATTACATTTTTTTTAACTATATGTAAAAATCTGCATGCGTTCCGATTCAAAATGTTTCGACTATTATTAAATAAAATAAACGAAAATGATTTTATTCACTATTCGAAGTATATTCGTAGTTTTGTACCATTTTTGTATCGATTTCAAAAAATTTTATTGCATTTTCATTAAGATTTGATTTCATTTCATTATCACCTACGATTGTTCCTGTATAATTTTATCAATTTTTAATGTACTTTAAGAAGTTTTTTTGAAGTTATACTTCTTATNAAACCTTATTAAGGATAATCCAATTGGCACAAAATTAACACTAATATAGGCACAGCACTAATTAAAATGTAGATTTATCCTGGATTGATCACATAATCTCTTAAACACTATTTGAAGAAATCACTAGGTACGTATCACTAGGTACTGTATCACTAGGTACGTCCGAGAACGGTCAGCCCCGTCACGGTGTCCCGGTAGAAACGGGCGATTTTGCGTCGGTCGGTTTAATAGTTCACAGCAATAGTGTTTTTCGGTAATATTTTTGACAAATAAATAATCATCTTAACTTGCTTACATTTATCAATCTCTCAAATGCAACATTTTGTGTATTACTACATATAGTGTTTTGAACTGACCCACAACGGGCTGTTGCGGGAATGCTTTACTTAGATACACTAATTAGAGTATGCTTTTGTTCGAATATTTAAAGAACAAATATATATATATATATCTAATCTATAAATAAATTAAACCAACAAGTTCTCTGTTATAAAAAAAAAATCTGGTGCCAACCGTATTAACGGTGAGGTGCCCCTGCCTTGAACAGACATACTGGGCATACATTCATTATAGGGTCAGGACAAAATGCAAAATATATAACGTGAACAGTTTCAGTGTTAGAAGCCCAGAAGTAGGTGGGAGTTGGAAACGTTCCATATTTTTATTTCTCATTGTTATTGTATTTTCGTTTAAGTCAAAAAATATCTTCTACCGCATCCCAATTTATCAATTTGAGTAAAAACTAGCGCTTTCTACTCCATAATTATTTAGGCATCCCAGAGGGCGAAAAAATTGTCCCACATGCTTAATAAGAATCAT